CAATTTCAGTTCTTAAATTCATCAATCAATCCTTTCATTTATATGATAGGCCTGCATTTAAAATGAATATTTACCATAAATTAAAGGTATCTTATATTATTAGATATATTATTATCAAACATGCTTTAGTTAAGGAGTTGTTGATACTTCAAATGCAAAATGATGATATAAAACCTTGATAAAAATACACTTTTAAGTATCAATCAATACAATAATAAAACAATATAATTAATAAAAAGTAAATAGAATATATAAGAATAATAAAGATTTAGGGATAAAGATGAAGCACTTTTATTTCATATGAATTTGTAGTTATATATGTGTATCAATTATTCTTCAACAATACTCTTATTTATAAGCATATGTATATAAATACTTGTATGCTCAATGGTCATAAGAAGATGTAGATTCAAATAAACTTAGAGAGATTCAAATGAACAAAATAAAGAAGAGGGAAGGCATCTAGACATCTACATACAATATATGATTTTATAACACTCTCTCTTGGATGTCTATTGTACAACCTTACATATTGAAAAATATCTTATTAAAAAGCTTACTAGAAAACCTAATGGGACAAAACCTAGGCTAAGGAAAATAGAGTACAGTGTGTATTAACTCCCTCTTATAAATATATCATCTCAAGTCTTTAAGCCGTCTCATTTCAATGTTGCATCGCAATCCTTCAAATGTTGTAGTTGGTAAGGCTTTAGTGAACAATTTTGCTAAATTACCTTCCAAGCGAATTTGTTGTGTGTCAATGTCACCTCACTTTTCAAGGTCATGTGTGAATAAAAATTTTGGTGAGATGAATTTTGTCCTATCTCATTTGATGTATCCTCCTTTTAATTGAGCTATGTATATAGTATTGTTTTTATACCATATGGTTAGAGTTCTTTTACTAGAGGATAAACCACATATTCCAGTAATATATTAAGTCATTGATGTCAGCCATACATATTCATGACTGACTTCATTGATTGCAAGTATTTTTGCATGATTAGATGAAGTCGCAACTAATATATGCTTTGTAGTTCTCCATGATATAGTAATATTACAACAGATAAAGAGATAAATTGTTTGAGATTGACCTTTATATAGATCAGATAAAAACCCTACATCAACATACCCAACTAATTCATAATTAGCATTATTTGAATAAAATAAGCTCATATCCATATTTTCTTGCATATAAAAAAAATATATTTAATTCTATTACATTGTCTCCGGGTAGGAGAAGAACTATAACTTGTTAGCAAGTTCATCAACAATGCTATATCAGGTTGTGTATTATTAGCTAGGTACATGAGTGCATCAATTGTACTAAGGTATGGTATTTTAGGATCAAATAACTCTTTGTTATTCTCACGAGATCTAAAAGAGTTTCTTTTCATATCAAGTGACCGAACAGCCATTGGTGTACTTATTTGATATGCTTTATCTATATAAAATCTTTTAAGGACTTTCTTTGTGTAAGTTGACTAATAAATGCTAATTCTATCTCCTAAATGCTCGATTTATAGGCTGAGAAATTTTTTTGTTTTTCCCAAATGTTTCATCTCAAACACTTTCTTTAAATAATCTATTATTTTTGGTATCTCTCCATGAGTTCCAATAATATTTAAATCATCAACATACATAATAAT